TTATTCTTTATACTCCTGACGAAGTTCTGTTTTTTGGAGTGGAGCATGTAGAGTTTTCTTTTTTTGCTTTGGGTCTTTCTTTGGGAGCACTTTTGTAATGCACATGGTATTCACTCCTCCCCCCTTTTTTTTGGAGAGGCCTGTACTGCGTTTTACAGTACATCATTTGCATTCCTCAAGACAGTGAGGTATTTTTCTCTGGATATGGTGATGTATGGGCCATGAGAGGCTGACATTTAAGCCCGTGGATGAGTGTACCCATGTTACATATCTATAGTAAGATAGATTATACTATCTAATTAGTTTTGTCCATGGGGTAACTCCATTTTCTTAACAGAGATGATATATTCAAGTTGATAGGCTTATGATCAAACTACAGTGCATCTTTGTATGCCATGACTTCATCTAAAACTTTATGGTATTTGATTTGGTCTCGTATTATTACCCATTTGGATGCAAGGTAAATTGTAATTGTATCCAGCAGGGTGGATTTGATTAAATCAAACTGATTTAAATCACAATTTAAATCACAATTTAAATCACTAGTCAGTAAGGCTTGATTTAAATCCTAGTTTTCTGCATAAAGACTAATTCTTGCTGGTATAACTTTAATATGGAAGTAGATGAAGATTTTTAGAATAACAACTTTTCATATTAGTATTTTCATATTAGTTTTTTTATCCCCAGTTTAATAGGTTAATCATTCATATTTGGACAACTTTTCTGTTGTACTTAGGAAGGGAGAAAAATAATCATTACCTTAATAATAATTTAAATAGATTTATTCAAATGAAACAATAACATTCCAGCATATGTGATTTGCTTAAACATCCATGTTTGTTAACTAATTTGGCTAAACAAAAATATATATTTTAAGAAACTTAGACTGTCAGCCCCTTCCTCCTCACACTTAGTTTCACTTTCTTCTTGTGCAGATCTATTCCACTCCAAACAATCAGAAAAATATTGTTTCTATTCTATTCACTGAACTTCTTGAAACTTAGCACTGAAGGGGTTGATTCTGTATTCATAGGTTTGTAGAAGTTAGGATTAAGGTCTTTTTCTTAACTCTGTTCATGTTATAACATTTTTGCTGTGAAGAAGAGGCATGTGATCTCCGCTGAGTCAAATTCAGTTTTGAGAACTGCAAAAGTAAACCAAGCATCTGTGATAATATCTTGTAGGCAGAGAAACTGCCCAATAATCTTACAAAAACCTCTGGAAGAGCATGACATTGTGAATGGATTAATGGAATTTATTTACCAAAAAAATTAAACATATACAGCCTTATTCTACATAATTAAAAAATTAATCTTTATTTCATGATGGAATAACCTTTGGATGTAATATATTTTCCTCAAAAAGCATTTTATTTAAAAAAATCCGATTTAAATAAAAAAAATAAGATTTTTTTGATTTAAAAAAAAATCATTGATTTTTATCCACCCTGGTATCCAGTCATATTGTTGTGCGCAGTACATTCCACTCCAATAGGAATTAATTACAGCTGAGCATACATTTTCTATATATTTAAATAAAGGTTATATATTTTACATTCATCAGTTGACCAAATGGTGATTAGGGAAACACACCCTTGTCCAGTATAGATTTGTTATTTGCCAAAGATAATGATTTACAATTAGGGCTTAGTTCAATAGTTGATTGATATTGCCTACTTTATATTAGCACTGTTTGCTTGTTACATGTACATTATGATTATTTAAAAAAATAATTACAGGAAACTAACATATATAACAATGTACTGTATACTTCAGTTAAATAGGATTACAAATTATAAAAAAATATTAGTAATAATAATAGTGATTATGTTTAGAGATGAGCGAAGTATTCAAAAATTCGATTCGACTGATTCGGCGAATTCGTGGACAATATTCGATTCGAGTCGAATATATTCGCTGTGAATTTAACTTAAAAAAGGGTGTTTCTAGGCTTCAGAGAGACTTAATATTAGTGCAGAACACTGTACCTTTAATTTTAAATGCCCTTGGAGTCTGCTGGGGAAGAGAAATAATACTGTCAGTCAGTATGACATGCAGATGAGTGCCGTCGATCTTAGAATCACCGCACACTTCACTCATTTGGCCAGTCACGGGGCCAAAACCAGTGTTTGGAGCCGCAGCAGCAATGGGAGGCCATACAGCAACCTATGACAAAATGGAAACCAGCAGGAGTGTGAGGAGACCTCAAAGTGGCACATGGCAGAGTGGGAGCAATGGGCAGCGGTACAGGGACCCATGTCACACTGTGGACCCAGCAGCAGCGTGACGAGGCGGTATGAGGGCCCATGGCAGATTTGGGGCCTGGCAGCACCTATGGGAGGCCTGTAATCTGCCAGCAACCTATGACAAAATGGAAACCAGCAGGAGTGTGAGGAGACCTCAAAGTGGCACATGGCAGAGTGGGAGCAATGGGAGGCAGTACAGGGACCCATGTCACACTGTGGACCCAGCAGCAGCGTGACCAGGCGGTACGGGGGCCCATGGCAGATTACAGGCCTGGCAGCAGCAATGGGAGGCCCGTAATCTGCCAGCACCCTATGACAAAATGGAACCCTGGGCTGGGGCAGGCAGAACCGCCGTATCTTTATCACGGTTTTCCCAGGCCACCGAATGGCGACGCTGCATATGCTGACGCAACGCTGTAGTCCCAACATGGGGCCCCCTGGCCACGCTTGACTTTCTGGCCACATAGTCGACATATGGCTACGTTTACTTCCTCGGGCGGCTTGACGAAAAATTGCCACACCGCCGAGTAGGAAACTTTGCCCCCGCTACTCCTCACTGGCTGACTGCTACTTCCTCCATGCACACGGCACCACTACTGGCCGTGGTGGTAGGCTGCAGTGGAGCTGGTGCTCTACTCCATGGCCGTTTGCCTCCACTGACACTGCTGCGACCCTGCTGCCTCCTGGCAGCAGCAATGGGAGGCCGTACAGGGACCCATGACACACTCTGGACCTGGCAGCAGCATGAAGAGGCGGTACAGGGGCCCATGGCAGATTACGGGCCTGGCAGCAGCAATGGGAGGCCCGTAATCTGCCAGCACCCTATGACAAAAAATGGAACACACCAGCAGTGTGAGGAGACCTGAAAGTGGCACATAGCAGAGTGTGGCGATGGAGACAGCAGCAATGGGAGGCCGTACAGGGACCCATGAGAGACTCTGGACCTGGCAGCAGCATGAGGAGGCGGTGCGGTGGGGGCCCATGGCAGATTACGGGCCAGGCAGCAGCAATGGGAGGCCCGTAATCTGCCAGCACCCTATGTCAAAAAATTCAACACACCAGCAGTGTGAGGAGACCTGAAAGTGGCACATGGCAGAGTGTGGCGATGGAGACAGCAGCAATGGGAGGCCGTACAGGGACCCATGACAGACTCTGGACCTGGCAGCAGCATGAGGAGGCGGTATATAGGGGCCCATGGCAGATTAGGGGCCTGGCAGCAGCTATGGGAGGCCCGTAATCTGCCAGCACCCTATGTCAAAAAATTGAACACAACAGCAGTGTGTGAGGAGACCTGAAAGTGGCACATGGCAGAGTGTGGCGATGGAGACAGCAGCAATGGGAGGCCGTACAGGGACCCCATGAGAGACGCTGGACCTTGGCAGCAGCATGAGGAGGCGGTATATAGGGGCCCATGGCAGATTAGGGGCCTGGCAGCAGCTATGGGAGGCCCGTAATCTGCCAGCACCCTATGTCAAAAAATTCAACACACCAGCAGTGTGAGGAGACCTGCAAAGTGGCACAGGCATGAGTACAGGGACTGTGGACCTGGCAGCAGCATGAGGGAGGCGGTATAGGGGCCCATGGCAGATTAGGGGCCTGGCAGCAGCTATGGGAGGCCCGTAATCTGCCAGCACCTATGTCAAAAAATTCAACACACCAGCAGTGTGTGAGGAGACCTGAAAGTGGCACATGGCAGAGTGTGCGATGATGGAGACAGCAGCAATGGGAGGCCGTACAGGGACCCATGACAGACTCTGGACCTGGCAGCAGCATGAGGAGGCGGTATATAGGGGCCTATGGCAGATTAGGGGCCTGGCAGCAGCTATAGGAGGCCCGTAATCTGCCAGCACCCTATGTCAAAAAATTGAACACACCAGCAGTGTGAGGAGACCTGAAAGTGGGCACATGGCAGAGTGTGGCGATGGAGACAGCAGCAATGGGAGGCCGTACAGGGACCCATGAGAGACTCTGGACCTGGCAGCAGCATGAGGAGGCGGTATATAGGGGCCCATGGCAGATTAGGGGCCTGGCAGCAGCTATGGGAGGCCCGTAATCTGCCAGCACACCCTATGTCAAAAAATTCAACACACCAGCAGTGTGTGAGGAGACCTGAAAGTGGCACATGGCATGAGAGACTGTGGACCTGGCCAGCATGAGGAGGCGAGGGGCGGTATAGGGGCCCATGGCAGATTAGGGCCTGGCAGCAGCTATGGGAGGCCCGTAATCTGCCAGCACCCTATGACAAAAATGGAACCCTGGGCTGGGGCAGGCAGAACCGCCGTATCTTTATCACGGTTTTCCCAGGCCACCGAATGGCGACGCTGCATATGCTGACGCAACGCTGTAGTCCCAGCATGGGCCCCCCTGGCCACCCTTGACTTTCTGGCACATAGTCGACATACGGCTACGTTTACTTCCTCGGGCGGCTTGACGAAAAATTGCCACACCGCAGCGAGTAGGAAACTTTGCCCCCCCGCTACTCCTCACTGGCTGACTGCTACTTCCTCCGTGCACAAGGCACCACACTGGCCGTGGTGGTAGGCTGCAGTGGAGCTGGTGCTCTACTCCGTGGCCGTTTGCCTCCACTGACACTGCTGCGACCCTGCTGCCTCCTGGCAGCAGCAATGGGAGGCCGTACAGGGACCCATGACACACTCTGGACCTGGCAGCAGCATGAAGAGGCGGTACAGGGGCCCATGGCAGATTACGGGCCTGGCAGCAGCAATGGGAGGCCCGTAATCTGCCAGCACCCTATGACAAAAAATGGAACACACCAGCAGTGTGAGGAGACCTGAAAGTGGCACATAGCAGAGTGTGGCGATGGAGACAGCAGCAATGGGAGGCCGTACAGGGACCCATGAGAGACTCTGGACCTGGCAGCAGCATGAGGAGGCGGTACGGGGGCCCATGGCAGATTACGGGCCTGGCAGCAGCAATGGGAGGCCCGTAATCTGCCAGCACCCTATGTCAAAAAATTCAACACACCAGCAGTGTGAGGAGACCTGAAAGTGGCACATGGCATGAGAGACACTGTGGACCTGGCAGCAGCATGAGGAGGCGGTATAGGGGCCCATGGCAGATTAGGGGCCTGGCAGCAGCTATGGGAGGCCCGTAATCTGCCAGCACCCTATGTCAAAAAATTCAACACACCAGCAGTGTGTGAGGAGACCTGAAAGTGGCACATGGCAGAGTGTGGCGATGGAGACAGCAGCAATGGGAGGCCGTACAGGGACCCATGACAGACTCTGGACCTGCAGCAGAGCAGCATGAGGAGGTGGTATATAGGGGCCCATGGCAGATTAGGGGCCTGGCAGCAGCTATGGGAGGCCCGTAATCTGCCAGCACCCAATGTCAAAAAATTGAACACAACAGCAGTGTGTGAGGAGGAGACCTGAAAGTGGCACATGGCAGAGTGTGGCGATGGAGACAGCAGCAATGGGAGGCCTTACAGGGACCCATGAGAGACTCTGGACTTGGCAGCAGCATGAGGAGGCGGTATATAGGGGCCCATGGCAGATTAGGGGCCTGGCTGCAGCTATGGGAGTCCCGTAATCTGCCAGCACCCTATGTCAAAAAATTCAACACACCAGCAGTGTGAGGAGACCTGAAAGTGGCACATGGCATGAGAGACTGTGGACCTGGCAGCAGCATGAGGAGGCGGTATAGGGGCCCATGGCAGATTAGGGGCCTGGCAGCAGCTATGGGAGGCCCGTAATCTGCCAGCACCCTATGTCAAAAAATTCAACACACCAGCAGTGTGTGAGGAGACCTGAAAGTAGCACATGGCAGAGTGTGGCGATGGAGACAGCAGCAATGGGAGGCCGTACAGGGACCCATGACAGACTCTGGACCTGGCAGCAGCATGAGGAGGCGGTATATAGGGGCCCATGGCAGATTAGGGGCCTGGCAGCAGCTATGGGAGGCCCATAATCTGCCAGCACCCCTATGTCAAAAAATTCAACACACCAGCAGTGTGTGAGGAGACCTGAAAGTGGCACATGGCAGAGTGTGGCGATGGAGACAACCCACCGACTGTTTTGCTCGCTGCCAAGCTGCCACCCTCTTCTCCTGATGATGCGGGAAGCAATAGCCTGATGACGACGAGGCTGCCAAGTGCGATCAGCCTCATCATCATCAATTAGGGTGTCAGGGATCCCCTCGATCCCCGCCGCGATGGTCCCGGCGCAGGCGCAGTATGCCGCCCTGTGCAGGGACGCGGGCTCTAGGTCCGGGCCGGCCGCGGCGCGTGAGTTCGCGCATGCACAATAGGAGCCGCGGCCGCCCGCTGGGCACCAATGGCAGCGCAGGGCGCGATATTTAAACGGCCCTGAGCTGTCATTCAGTGCCTTCTGGTCTTGTCCTTGCCCTGTATCCTGTATCCTGTATCTGAACCTGAACCTGTAAGTTGCTGACCCGGATTGTACCTGACCACTGCTGAATTCTCCTGCCAGACCCTTGCTTTGCCTGACCTTTCTTCCGTATGTCCCCTATTGGATTTGACCTACTGTTGATGACCTGGGGGTGTGACCCGACTATTCTCTGCCCGCTGCCTTGTACCGTGCTGTCCCCCCGTTACCGACCCGGCTTGCCTGACTCTGCACTTGCTCATCCATCCATCCATCCATTCCTCTCAGCGGGGTTCCCAGACCTCCTCATATCAGGCTCTCTCCCGTGGGAGCCCCTGGCGACCACCCCTACCACTGACGGGTGCCCTCAGTAAGCACGACCTGGTCCCGGGGTACTCCAAGTCCATCCCCACCATCAGGGGCTCTGGTGAACAAGTACTCTGGGACTTAGACTCCGTGCGCTGGGGACGCCTGATTAGTGGAGTGCTAGTTGTGTCGCCAGGCGGTCCCTTACATAGGGTCTCCGCCCTCACTACTAGCCCCCTCGGCTGCGTGTGGGTCAGGAGACAGACCTGTCTCTACAACCGGCTACCGAGCCACTCTCCTCGCCACTACTTCTTCGCCTGGCTGCTGAAGAGGCGGATGTCTCCCCCCGTTCCTGACCCGCCCTCTGTTAGCTCTTCCTCACTGTACTGGATGACACCGGGAGCACTAGCCTCTGGCTGCGAATAGTGCTGTGCCTCGACCCCTTCCTCTGCTGCCACGTCTGCTCGCTCCTAAAACATTGCCTCCTCTGCCACTCCTCTGCATGTTGTCTGACATACTCTTTAATTAAACGATTCTGTGTCCCTGAGTAACAATTCTGTGTCCCTGAGTAACGTTTCTGTGGCCCTAAGTAACAGTTCTGTGGCCCTAAGTAACAGTTCTGTGGCCCTAAGTAACAGTTCTGTGGCTGAATCAGTAACAATTCTGTTAGCTGTCCCTCAGTAACAATTCTGTGTCCCTCAGTAACAATTCTGTGTCTGTCCTGAGTAACAATTCTGTGTCTGTCCCTGAGTAACAATTCTGTGTCCCTGAGTAACGTTTCTGTGGCCCTAAGTAACATTTCTGTGGCCCTCAGTAACAATTCTGTCTGTCCCTGAGTAACAATTCTGTGTCTGTCCCTGAGTAACAATTCTGTGTCCCTCAGTAACAATTCTGTGTCCCTCAGTAACAATTCTGTGTCCCTGAGTAACGTTTCTGTGGCCCTAAGTAACGGTTCTGTGGCCCTCAGTAACAATTCTGTGTCTCTGAGTAACAATTCTGTGTCTGTCCCTGAGTAACAATTCTGTGCCCTAAGTAACGGTTTCTGTGGCCCTCAGTAACAATTCTGTGTCCCTGAGGTAACACAATTCTGTGTCTGTCCCTGAGTAACAATTCTGTGGCCCTAAGTAACGGTTCTGTGGCCCTCAGTAACAATTCTGTGTCCCTGAGTAACGTTTCTGTGGCCCTAAGTAACAATTCTGTGGCCCTCAGTAACAATTCTGTGTCTGTCCCCTGAGTAACAATTCTGTGTCCCTGAGTAACGTTTCTGTGGCCCTAAGTAACATTTCTGTGGCCCTCAGTAACAATTCTGTCTGTCCCTGAGTAACAATTCTGTGTCTGTCCCTGAGTAACAATTCTGTGTCCCTCAGTAACAATTCTGTGTCCCTCAGTAACAATTCTGTGTCCTGATTAACGTTTCTGTGGCCCTAAGTAACGGTTCTGTGGCCCTCAGTAACAATTCTGTGTCTTGAGTAACAATTCTGTGTCTGTCCCCTGAGTAACAATTCTGTGGCCCTAAGTAACGGTTCTGTGGCCCTCAGTAACAATTCTGTGTCCCTGAGTAACAATTCTGTGTCTGTCCCTGAGTAACAATTCTGTGGCCCTAAGTAACGGTTCTGTGGCCCTCAGTAACAATTCTGTTCTGGTCCCTGAGTAACGTTTCCTGTGGCCCTAAGTAACAATTCTGTGGCCCTCAGTACACATTCTGTGTCTGTCCCTGAGTAACAATTCTGTGTCCCTGAGTAACGATTCTGTGCCCTAAGTAACATTTCTGTGGCCCTCAGTAACAATTCTGTCTGTCCCTGAGTAACAATTCTGTGTCTGTCCCTGAGTAACAATTCTGTGTCCCTCAGTAACAATTCTGTGGTAACCTTCAGTCATAACAATTCTGTGTCCCTGAGTAACGTTTCTGTGGCCCTAAGTAACGGTTCTGTGGCCCTCAGTAACAATTCTGTGTCCCTGAGTAACAATTCTGTGTCTGTCCCTGAGTAACAATTCTGTGGCCCTAAGTAACGGTTCTGTGGCCCTCAGTAACAATTCTGTGTCCCTGAGTAACAATTCTGTGTCTGTCCCTGAGTAACAATTCTGTGGCCCTAAGTAACGGTTCTGTGGCCCTCAGTAACAATTCTGTGTCCCTGAGTAACGTTTCTGTGGCCCTAAGTAACAATTCTGTGGCCCTCAGTAACAATTCTGTGTCTGTCCCTGAGTAACAATTCTGTGTCCCTGAGTAACGATTCTGTGGCCCTAAGTAACATTTCGGTGGCCCTCAGTAACAATTCTGTCTGTCCCTGAGTAACAATTCTGTGTCTGTCCCTGAGTAACAATTCTGTGTCCCTCAGTAACAATTCTGTGTCCCTGAGTAACAATTCTGTGTCCCTGAGTAACAATTCTGTGTCCCTCAGTAACAATTCTGTGTCCCTCAGTAACAATTCTGTGTCTGTCCCTGAGTAAACAATTCTGTGTCTGTCCCTGAGTAACGTTTCTGTGGCCCTAAGTAACGGTTCTGTGGCCCTCAGTAACAATTCTGTGGCCCTCAGTAACAATTCTGTGTCTGTCCCTGAGTAACAATTCTGTGGCCCTAACTAACGGTTTCTGTGGCCCTAAGTAACAGTTTCTGTGGCCCTCAGTAACAATTCTGTGTCCCTGAGATAACGTTTATGTGGCCCTAAGTAACGGTTCTGTGGCCCTCAGTAACAATTCTTGTGTCCCTGATTAACGTTTCTGTGGCCCTAAGTACGGTTCTGTGGCCCTCAGTAACAATTCTGTGTCCCTCAGTAACAATTCTGTGTCTGTGTCCCTGAGTAACAATTCTGTGGCCCTAAGTAACGGTTCTGTGGCCCTCAGTAACAATTCTGTGTCCCTGAGTAACGTTTCTGTGGCCCTAAGTAACGGTTCTGTGGCCCTCAGTAACAATTCTGTGTCCCTGAGTAACAATTCTGTGTCTGTCCCTGAGTAACAATTCTGTGGCCCTAAGTAACGGTTCTGTGGCCCTCAGTAACAATTCTGTGTCCCTGAGTAACAATTCTGTGTCTGTCCCTGAGTAACAATTCTGTGGCCCTAAATAACGGTTCTGTGGCCCTCAGTAACAATTCTGTGTCCCTGAGTAACGTTTCTGTGGCCCTAAGTAACAATTCTGTGGCCCTCAGTAACAATTCTGTGTCTGTCCCTGAGTAACAATTCTGTGTCCCTAACTAACGTTTCTGTGGCCCTAAGTAAACAGTTCTGTGTCCCTCAGTAACAATTCTGTGTCCCTGAGTAACGTTTCTGTGGCCCTAAGTAACAATTCTGTGTCCCTGAGTAACAATTCTGTGGCCCTAAGTAACGGTTCTGTGGCCCTCAGTAACAATTCTGTGTCCCTGAGTAACAATTTCTGTGGCCCTAAGTAACGGTTCTGTGGCCCTCAGTAACAATTCTGTGTCCCTGAGTAACAATTCTGTGTCTGTCCCTGAGTAACAATTCTGTGGCCCTAAGTAACGGTTCTGTGGCCCCTCAGTAACAATTCTGTGTCCTGAGTAACAATTCTGTGGCCCTAAGTAACGGTTCTGTGGCCCTCAGTAACAATTCTGTGGCCCTCAGTAACAATTCTGTGTCTGTCCGAGTAACAATTCTGTGGCCCTAACTAACGTTTCTGTGGCCCTAAGTAACAGTTCTGTGGCCCTCAGTAACAATTCTGTGTCCCTGAGTAACGTTTCTGTGGCCCTAAGTAACAATTCTGTGGCCCTCAGTAACAATTCTGTGTCTGTCCCTGAGTAACAATTCTGTGGCCCTAACTAACGTTTCTGTGGCCCTCAGTAACAATTCTGTGTCTGTCCCTGAGTAACAATTCTGTGGCCCTAACTAACGTTTCTGTGGCCCTAAGTAACAATTCTCTGGCACTCAGTAACAATTTTGTCTGTCCCTGTGTAACAATTCTGTGGCCCTAACTAGCGTTTCTTTGGCCCTAAGTAACGATTCTGTGGCCCTCATTAACAATTCTGTGTCCCTGAGTAATGCTTCTCTGTCCCTAAGTAACGTTTCTCTGTCCCCAAGTAACGTTTCTGTGGCCCTAACTCTGTCCCTAATACAGAGCGGTCTGCCTCTCTTGAATGACTGGAGGCAAATGAAGAATTCTAAAATGGCCGCTATTTATAGCTCGACCATTACACAGTGCTGGCTGGCTGGCTGCTGATTGGCTAATGCGATCACATGTCATTAAGGAATGCATTATGGGTCAGCGC